TTTAGATATTTTGGTTCAGTGACCATGCACAAAAGAATTGCAGACGAGGCTCCGGGGAAATAAAGAATAAATCAAGATTATCCATTGATAATTTTATTTTTTTTTAATATTGCAAAGAGTTATTTTGAAGTGCACGCTTCAAAATGACCAATCAAAGAGCGTATAATATCGTTTTATTCTTTATTTCCCCGGAGCCTCGTCTGCAATTCTGTTGTGCATGGTCACTGAACCAAAATATCTAAACTCGGCTATTAGTGCTTGTATTCTAGTATGTTGTATTTATTTTATTTGTTTCCAACCAATGTTGCAGAGTTTTCAACCAAAACCTCGGCATGTCGACCGGACTGAAAAAGAGAAGGCTGGAGGACAGTTGTGATTGGCAGTTCCCAGTTTCCTTTACATTTCCAAGGCAAAGATTACAGAGTATTGAAACCGAAAAACCTCTGTATGTCGACCGGAAGTGGAGAAAACTGGAGGAAAGGTTGTGAATGGCAGTTCCCAGTTTTCTTTACATTTCCAAGGCATCAAAGATCATCAAAGATTACAGTATTGAAACCGAAACCTCGGCATGTCGACCGGAAGTGGAGAAGACTGGGCGAAGGTTGTGATTGGCAGTTCCCAGTTTTCTTTACATTTCCAAGGCAAAGATTACAGAGTATTGAAACCGAAAACAGTCGACCGTAAAAAGAGTAAGACTGGAGGACGACTGTGATTGGCTCTTTTCTTTACGTTTCCACGGAAAATGATTAAAGGGTATCCAAATTCCAGGCATGGAAAGGGAGAAGACTGGAGGACGGTTATGAATGATAAACCCAAACAAATTGTCACTGTACTATCCAAGGGRAAAATCTYCCAAGAAAAATTCCATTAATAAGTTAGTTTTTATTATTTACGGCATTGCTTGGCTAAATCGGCGATTCTTGATTAATTCGTTGTYTTATTGCGATTTTYTCTTCATCTGTTAASACAATTCCATCTATAGACGAAACATTTCTACTAGAATCCACAGTAATTGCCTTCTTGTTGCTTCTTTGCAGACTTCTTGGACTTAGAAACATAAACCGCTGTAAAGTGCTTTTTAATTCGGAACCAGCCGACTGAATATCGATTGATTTTTTCTCCAAATATTCCAGTTCGTCGAAGATATCACCAAGGATTTCTTGCCGGAAATTGTTTTTCTCCAGATCGATGAATTTTCGRCAGCTTCTCGTAATGTCTTCGGCAGTATCGGATATCTGTTCGGGATATGGTTCTAATACATGAAGTTCCATGTCGTCGCAAGCTTGTGGTGTTGTCGAAGCGAGTGAYCGAGTGATGTCGAGAATCGTGTCTAAGTCTCGGATGAGTCGAACAACGAATGGAAGTCGATCGCCATTAGAGCTGCGTTTSTCCTCTCTTGACGATGACTGTAACTGAAACTTATATAAAGCAAGCCCGTTTTTAAGATAAATGAGMGAGAAAATGTTCTCTGGGAAAAGTAACTCTAGAGTGTGGGCTTTCAGAACAAAAGTGCAGTGTTATTCATTGTCAACTCGWGSTTATACAGTATTAACTCGTGGACAGATAATACATTGTCAACTCGTGGATACGTTATACACTATCAACTCTTGGACAGGTTATGAAGTATCAACTCGTGGACAGGTTATACATTATCAATCCTTATTGATTTAGAATTTACTTTATACCTGCATTTCCCGACCTTGGTGAATAAAGTCTGATGTAGCACGTAAAAGTTTCACTACATCCTCTGTAACTTCTTTTTCAATCTGTTAAATACAATAGGACAGCAACAAAAAGTCAATACTACAAACTGAGGACGTTTAAAGTATCCGTCTGATACATGCAGATAGTAGAGAGTTTTAGCATCACGTTGACGGCAAACGGCTAACGGCAGAGCTGAACCAATGACTTAAGAATTTCGTGCCCGACCTAGTGCTTTTGGTAGTCATTTGAAAGAGCGGCTTTTCGCGATTATGGCAACGCTCAAAATAACCCACTCTCGCGTTGAAACTGCAACGTTAAACTATAAAAAAGCAGGTCACGCGATCTTTTCTGCCGTTTGGCGTTTGCCGTGAACGTCATGCTAAACCTCTCTAGTAATATAGAGCGAATTTCGTATGACTGTGGAACGGCATGGATCACAAACCGTGTTTTTTTTAATTACATCCAAGATCTAAAATCGAGATCAATTGTTTCAGTCGGAACTTTACCATGAATTTAAGCATGCTAATTATATTTTTCTGCATTTTGCAGCTCGCCCGGACGAATGTTTCGTGTTTTTTTGGATGAAACTGTGCTTTTCAATGTAATTCYCCGTTGCCCAGGCGCATAGAATCCTTAAGAAGACTTAGCTAACTGTGGAGTAAATATGGCGGGAACGTAACTAGCGGTAAACTACTCCGAGGAAGGATTAACGTCCGAAACGTCAGTAAGGTATTTCACCTACTTTTTTCGGTGATAAATTTATCTTTTTATAAAACTGTAACTGTGGAGTAACCTGCGATGTACTAGTATCTCATTCAAGGAGAGTATAAATAATTCTGGTAGTTATTATGCTCTAGTCAAATGAATCTTAAGGACTTAAGGACAATGACGTATCATCCTACCTCAGTGACATCGGTTCTCAAGACGTTTTCGTCGACCTGTTCTTGAATACTATCAAGTGAATCAAGAGAATGTCGAATTGAATTCTGTAAAAACTGTTCCTGACCCGAAATAAACGCTTCTTCYAAATCAACATCACGACGAGTGTCCTATAAATAGAAACAAACCCAGGTTATCTTGTTGAGTTTGAAATAAATGGAAAATGGAAATGCATGAAGAGATGGGAATTAAATCTAAAAAAGCTAAAAGATTGGACCAACTTTCTAATAAAACTAACTTTGAAGGATACAGCTGAAATTTTAGGAGGGGGGGGAAGGCGCTAAATGGGCTTTATTTGTTATAAACAGATTAAAAATAATGAAAAACAGTTCACTTTTGAGGGGTCAGCACCCCTTTGTCCCTATCTGAATCCGCCCTTGATAACACCAGAATAATATGAACAAATTTCGCAAAGAAAATTCCCTAACCGCGCCAGTGGAAAATCGCGCACTTTAAAAGGTTGTAAATTCGATGAAAATATGATGTAAGTGTCCAAAATGATGTAAATTTGATGTATCATTTACATGAAACTTACACAAAATTTACAACCTTCAAAGTACGCGATTTTTTTCGGTGACCGCCACAAATTAATCAAGGAGGGACTCTCTTTTGAGAAAATCCTGGATCTTACACTTGAATACGATACCTTGTCAAACTGACTGTCCGCGTTAAGTGTGAATACAGCGAGTTTTGCTGTTTGTTTCACGGCCTCCTTGATACGAGACTCTGCTTCTTGAATGGTGCCAAGGCAATCTGACTTCSTTAGTGATGGTTCACACATCGTCTGGAGGGAAATGCGGACAACTGATTACAATGCTACTCAATTATAACTATAAGTCACCATGATTTTGAATTGCGAGAAATTATGGGATACCCACGGAGCAAATGCACATATTGTGAAATAGCATGGTACCGATGTATTACGTAATTAACGAGAAAATAGCACGTGAAATATCCCACGACGCACGCAAAAAAATGACGTTTGCTCGCGGGCAGTATATAAAAAAAATTACAAAATACCGTTAATAACTTGACCAACAAGGAACACAAATCATGCGTAATTTCCATCAAAGTTTCACGAAGGGAAGCAAACTTTTTGTACTTGTCACCATGGTAACTGCATTCCCACGACTGCACCTTGGCAACAATCGTCTCCATCGTAACAGTAATACGGAGACACGCTTCCTGGATTCTTCTCTCTGTACGAAAAAAA